TGCTCGCTCCAACCCGGCACGGGAAGGGTGAGGGGCTCCTGCCGTGCTCCCGGATGCCGAGACCCCCCGGGGGTCCCCGTTTCCCGAGAGCTCTGTCGGAGCATCCCCCTCGCCAGAGGGATTTGGCGGGGGGTATGGGAACGGGGAGGGGGAAGAAGGGCTTCCGCCGGCTCCCCCGGGGCTGCAAACCAGCACACGCCCCGCACCCCCGCAGCGCTGCGGCGGCCGCCTGGCCGGCAGTGACACCCCGCGGCGGACACCGGCACCGCCGCACCCGGCGGCCGCCCCTTGCCCCCGGGGCTGCGCTGCGGGACCCCGGGGGGCACACGCCGGGGAGCGATCTCGGTGGTCTCGGCTATCTGCAGAGGACTCGGTGTGTCCTCGTCCTCCATCAGCATTGAGGAAAGGAGCCTTCTCCTTCCCCCCCTTCTGAACGTATAGCACACGCGCATACATATAGAATCATAGAATCGTCTAGGTTGGAAGAGACCCTTGGATCATCGAGTCCAACCATCTACCCTACTCTACAAAGTCATCCCCTACACCATGTCCCTTAGCACTGCATCTAAACACAGCCAGGGATGGTGACTCCACCACCTCCCTGGGCAGCAGCCCACCTCCCTCCTTCTCGATTCGAAGCCTGTAACGGCGCCATGTCTTGCCTCCACACCCCGTGTGCCCATTTCCACCATCAGGCCAACGCGGCACGGCAAAGGTGCCAGCAAACCCTCCCGGCTCAGCAGGATCCTCCAGGAAACAGCTTTATCTGTAATCAAACTCACCCCGCTTTTTTCCCCAATCTCAGTCCCTCACACCATCCCCATTTGGCTCGCCCTCCTGGGATGCTTTAAATGAGATTCTAATTTCTTCAGGCCAGGGATGGTCTTTTATCATGTCTCGTACAGCCCTTACCACAGTGGGGCCCAGGCAGCATGGGACCTGCAGGCATAATTACAGTCCCGATGATAAATACCACTCGTACTGTTTGTCTCCCCGATCAGGCTGCCGTGCTGCACTGTAATCAAACTTGCTGATTGTTTTTAAAAGGCAGATGTGTACTTCTGGCCTGACGCAAGGCTGTCCTACATTCTGCTTTGGGTCACGTCGGGCTCTTTGGATTCAATAATGAAGAGCAATGGTTCTCCTCCAGCCTCCTGGGCTGCAGGGCTCCGGCTCCTCGCCACCCCCAAAAGACCTGAGACCCCTGTGCAGCTTGACACAGCGTGTGGGTGCGATGCTCACCCAGGGGATGCACCCATTCGTTTGTCTGCTGTGAAGGAGGGGTGAGCTGATGCAGTCTTCTCATTTGACTTTGTCAACCGTGGCATTTCCTGAAGGCCGTCAGTCAGCCTGGCGGTGCCCGGCACAGCTGACATGCTGGGTTCCTTTCTCCTAATTTTACCCATTAATAAGCACGTGGTAAGTGCTGGTGCCAGACGGCGCTGTGTTTCCAGTGCCACAGACTCCTGTGAGGAGACACGGGAGGACAAGGAGACTCCTCTCTGCCTCTCGGGTTAGCATTTGTCAAGTCAAGCTGGTCGCTCCAGCTGTGCAGATCAGCACAGAACAGATACATCAGCACATCCCAAATTATCAATTTGCAGCCGCAGGTCCCTCTGTGGCCAGCCTGCCCCGCGGGAGGGACTGGATTGCCAGCGTCTCCGATGAGCCCACCGGCGCTTACAGACGCTGCCGGCACACGATGCAGCTGTGGAACTGCACCGCAGACACAAACTTCTGCAGAGGTTGGGATCCCAGGTTTTCCCCAAAGTGACCAGAAGTGTCACTGCCTGCTCACGTGCTGTCACAGCAGATCACTGGGGAAAGGCCTGGGGATGCACTGAGACCCTGAAGAGAGTCCTCCTTCCAGATGCTACTGCAACCGTATCAGCAACCCCTGCAGAGCACTGAGGCTGACAAGGCTGCATAGCCCTGGGCCCAAGACCCCTTAGTATGCATCACACCAACCCTGAAAGGTGAATCGCCATCACACATCCAGAATGAAAACTCAGGAATGCGTCCCTTCCTTCCACACACTCTCTCCTTTGAACACTGACCCTTTCTTCTTCTTAAGTCTCTACAAGGTCGTCAGATGCTCGTTTTCAAGCCCCCTCAGAACTATGGCATGGAAAAACACAAAACATATCCACACCTGGCATTGGGCAGATGCCCATCCGAATGCTGGAGAGAGCTGCAGGAGAGTCTGTTCTCCGAACATCAGAGAGAGCTGGGCCTCTCATCTGCTGAGCAAACAGCAGTTGCATAAATTGAAACTGCCTCAGGCTCGCTGGAGTAAACTCACACGCCCAGTGTGTCCTGGAGTTCAGGCCTTTTTAGAGAAGAAAAGCATGGAAATCTCCTTGTCTGCAAGGGCCAGTTGACTGCTCCACCTTTTTCAGCTCTCCTCTGGCAGGCTGTCATCACTCCTTGCCTCTCGCACCGTCCCTCCCCTGCCATGCACGCTGGGCAGGTTTCCAGGCTCCAGCTGGAGAATACTGACTTGATTAGATTTGATTCACAAAGGCATTTCACAACACTTGTTCACCTAAACAAAATAAAAGTCCTGGATCTAAGGATCATAATTAAGGGCAGGATAGATCCTTTTGAAGCAAACTACTGGTAAGTCACCAAATTTTAAATAATAAGGTTTCCTGCCAAAGTACCATGCTGAGGAAAAAGTTCATATAAGTTCAGCTGCTCAACCCATGACTTCCTGAAATAACAGGTGACATGTTTTTGGCTTTTGAGGCCCTTAAACTTACAGGCTCCTGTTCCAATTTTGTCAAACTAACGACTCGTCAGGTATGCTGGAGGCTTTAGCCATCTCTTCAGGCTTCAGACAAGCAGGATGCCACAAAGGCTGAGGAGAACTTTGCATCTGATATTCTTCACCTCTGGTTCTTTTTGCTTGGACTCCCAACTGAGGTGTCCAACATGCGCACTAGGAGCAAGGGCAAAAAAACATCACACATGCAGCGGTGTTCTGTTCCCAATAACCTCTGCTCAGGTTGACCTGGGAGGGAAAACTCCCTTAGCCTGGTTCCATGCTGTGGTGTCTGTCATACCATAAATTCACTTTTTCTCCCCTAGCTGTTTCCTCAGTAGCTACAGATAGGTGGGAATGAGCTGGCTCCTAGCAGTCTTTGATGATTACTGCTGAATTCACAGCGTGGTTTGCCACCCCAGCCTCTCCATCTGAAATCATGCTCAGTCCCACATCTCACAGCATACCACTCACCTTACCAGTCCACAAGGCAGTAGCTGGAACAAAACATGCTGCACAAGGAGAAAACTAACGGTGACATACCGACATCCCTCCTGGGTGCTCAGGGAGGACAGCAGGACTGACCACTTTGGAATGAGGACCGGGGAGCATTGCTTGCAAGCCAATATCTCTCCTGGTGGAGAGGTCAGCCTCTCTGACAGGCTTAGCCACAAGCTCCCCCCTGAAACATTCACAGAGGCAGAGGCCAGGCTGGTCTTGACTCCAGCCCTTCTGGCAGCTTCATACTGAAAGGAAACCACTGAGGGGACATGTTCAGTTTCCTCTCCATGCGCCCACTTAAACCATTCCAGAAAAATAATCTCTACCAAATGTATGTTCTTCAGAAGCAGCATGAAGCCTGCTCTGTGAATCCCAATGACAATATGCTCATTAGAAACTTCCTGTTACACTGCAATGAAAGTGCTCTTGAGGAATGTGTCTAAAAAAAAGGGGTACAGTTGAGATCACGATAATTAACTGATGGAGAAAGGACTCCGCAATCAGACACACCACCCTGTCACTAGGCTGGAGGTGCTTCAGTCTTGATGGAAAACGCTCAAAGGCAAAGCAAGAGCTGTTCCTGAGCAGAGGAAGACATGCAGGCATGCATTGCACTGGCCTGTGGACACTCCTCACATGATGGAAGGGGCACATGACAGGTCTTCAGAAGAAGGTCATGGTTGAGGTGGACCTCTGAGAAGTGGGGAGACTGGCCTGAAGCTCAGCACTGTTCCCATCAGCTAGCAGCCTTACTGAAGGTAGAGGAGTTTCATCCAGCATCACATCAACATGGGACTCTGCTGTTGTAGTGGCCCCAGTGCCTGTGCCCATACTCCCCCCGTGTCCTCTGGAGAAACATGGCCCCTGACTTGTCAGGTAGGTCTGTTGCACCACGCTGCAACATGAGGCAAGAGGAACAGCTTTTGGCCATATCAAAATGAGGCACTTTGATCAGTCTTTTAACTAGAAGTTTAAGCGAAGTCGAGACCCTTGTGCAGAATGTTTCCACATCGATGAATCAGCTTCTTCCAAAGGGAAAAGCTGTGCCGTTTGAAAAACGTTAGCCCATTATCCATAACAAGCCCTCCCCTAGAGACCTCGCAATTAAGGCCTGAGACAAGCTGAAGCAGGCAGGCAAAATAAACCCCGGGTTCAGAGGTACCAATTAAGCAAGCAGAGCAGAAATCTGAGTTTACCACTGGCCTGACCAATGCCAGAGGGGAAGAGTTTGTTGGCAAATTTCAAAATTAGACTTAAAAGAAGAAGAGCTGGTTAAGACAGATCAAGCAGGCTCGCTAGGCTGAAAAGTGATGAAATAGCCCTTTGCGTGTTCCTGCCTTCCCCTTTTATGCATATGTCATAAATAATTAACTGGCTCTTTGTCTTCAGCCCTTGATGAATTCTGGGGTGTAATAACAGCAGTAGCCGATGGTATCTCGACTCTTCTCTCTTCAGACAATACTGGGCTTTTGCATGTAATCCCATGGTGGCACGGAGCAGGTTCTCCATGTCTTCCTGATCAGATTTCTGCCCTGTCCTCCTCCTGTGCATGTAATTATCCTCTGGAGCCACATTCATGGAAGCAACAGACACATACGCCACTCGGCCGCGCCGTATGGGCTAAGAGACCTGCTAAGGCTGGACTGTAATTATACAGTAGAAGGCCTTCAGCAGCAGAACTCAGTCCTAGACAATAACAGCAAACAAGTAACACCCTGTGGGCCAGCTTCGCCATTAGGTTTTTTTTATTATTTTTGTGGTCTTGAGTCATACGAGAGTGCCTAGCAGGTAACACATCACATAAAATTGTTGGGCCTGGAGACCAACAGAGCAGACAAAAATAATCTTTTTTTTTTTGGCTGTAATCTGAGCCACCCCTGAGAGACAAGGTGAGTTATCACCCCCATGGCAGTCATCCTGGTGGCCAGGCGGGCTAGGAGCTGGGCAGCACGCCTGCCAGCATTACGTCTCCCTGGGCTCACAGGGTTATATTTGGGAGAGGAAAGTGATTTCCTGTGATTCTGTTGAAGAAAGCTACAGCTCAGGACATTGTGGCAGGTCAGCGTCTCCTGCCTGGTAAGTGGGTGTGTTGGCACCCATCTCTATACGGGTCTGGGTGCCCTCAGGGCTGCAGAAGATTATCAGCTGGTCTTGCCTGCAAGTGATGCTCTGTGATGTGACAAGGCGAGGCCTCAGCTGGCTGGGGGCCAGGGACCCCCACCAGTCCATCATCCCCCACCTGGCTCCTGCTGGTTCGACAGAGCTGGCAGCCTTCCTGGCTCACACAAGGGACATCACCACCTTCCCACTGACCGCCTTTTTCCAGTGCCCAGACATGCCCATCCTCTGTCCTGAGAGACATTACGCCTGTGAAATTCCTTGGGGCTGTGTGTCCCATCCGCAGTGGTGTCCCACCACGGCCAGGAGTTAGAGAGCTGCCAAAGCAACTGAAACACAAGAGAGGAGGTATGTGGATAAATCTGATCCACCAGCCCTGCAGGCAAGCACACTCCCTGCTGGGAACATGCAACAGAGAACAGGACACCAAAATAACGCAAATCCCATATTCCCCCTGTAAACTCCCCCCATACTGTTTCAAAGGAGATTGTCTGGGCCTCCATCAAATGCCAGCTCCCTTCTGGAAGACAAGGGCATCTAAGTCCTTCTTTCTGATATCTCCGATTGCTTTGAATACATTTACCACAAACATGCATGTAATTTTGCACCTTGATGTCATGTCTCAAAGCTTCAAGCCTAGAAGAGCCTACCAACACAAGGCACCACCAAGGGCAGGATTGTCCCATTCCACTTTCTCAGAAACCATTCACCTGTCCAAAGCTCAGATGCTCCACAGGGTACATTGCACACATTCATCCACCTCCTAGAAGCAGCTTGAAAGCCACAGTCGCCCTGGAAATGTGACAATATTGGAGGCTGATCTAAATCACACAACTGTCTGCAGGTGCCCACGTTTCATCCAAGGGGGAACAGGAGGGAAAGGCTGCCTGGATGAAGCCCACAGGTGCTTCTGCTGTGCACAGCCATCAGGGGCTGGCAGAGAGAAGTGAGCTTTCTGGGGGAGGAGATGGAGCATGGCTGGCACAGAGGGCACGGAGCTAGGAGGGCTGGCCCTTGCCAGGGCAAGAAGAGCAAGTTTACATTGAGATCTTGGGGCTGATGAAAAAACTGAAGCACAAAGGCAGGCCTGAAGAGTTGCACGAGCAGTCACAGGTGAAGCAGCACAAAACAGGTACCGCCGGTCTGCGTCTCCCTCCCTCTCACCCACACCCCTGGTCCTGCCCTGACTGCTGGCTCCGCAGCACTGGTGTCTCCATAGCTCCCTTCTGGGGAAGGAGGGCTTCCACCCTTCCCCTCCGCCTAGTGCCGGCGTCTCCTCCCTATGTCTCCTTGCTCTGCCTCTCCCACCTTTCTCTGCCCTGGAGAACGTATAAGCCTATTGTCTTGCACCCTTTCCTTTCCCCTGATGCCATTTCGTGCTTCCCTGACGAGGTGTTTCTCTTCTGCCCGCCCAGGTGAGGAGAGAGCCAAAGGCCATGGTCTCCACGCTGGCTCTGCTGCCTCCACAGCTGGGTACCCCAGACCACCAACCCACCCATGGGTGCTCTCCACCTGCACGCTCCCATGGACCTCAAGAGGCCCCCAGACCATCCCTGGGTGTCACCACAAAGGGGTGAGAGGCACCCACACACCTCTTGGCTCCTTCCTGGCTTCCGAAAGGGCTCCTGCTGACTGCAAGGAAGGAGCTGCAAAACTCCAGTGGTTAATATTTTTTTTTTTCCCCTCCTTCCATCCCATATTACAAGCCTTTTGGGAAAGCAAAGAATTAAATTACAAATGAATAAAATAAAGTGAACGGAGACATGACCTCAGCCTGGCCGCTTGGGGCATGAGGCGGTGTCTAGACCTGGCTGACTGTTGCTACACCTATGCCACAGCCCGACGAGCGGCATTTTACAGGGTAGGCAGAGAAAAGGCAGAGTCCATGCTGCATGTTATTAATGTTTCTCAGTGAAAACCAACACTACACCCCCTGTTTTCCAGCCTTCTTGTGGGAAACTTAAGGGTTTGACTGGGAGGTGTCTACCTAGCCACTGGGCTGAGAGTGAAACGTCTGTGCTGCACCTGATAAACTACTCAATTTTTTCCTTCAGAACAAATAAAACCACAGTGGGATCAAAACATGCTCTTTCCCTTGGCAGAGGCAGTGCCTGACTTGTCCCAGCTAAACTAAAGCACATCTCCCCCCAGCTTTGTCCTTCACCTTTCATTCACTGCCCATAGCAAGCCTGGGACTCCCAGAACGACATGGAGACAACGTTGGGAGCTGTGCAAAGTGATGGTCCCTCTGCAAACAGCAAGGACTTCTTGCAGATACCAGGCAGACAAATGAAGGGCAATCTCAGCTTTGGGAGTGCTGGGCCATGGAGCCCAAGCTTTGCCCTGAGCAGGAATCCAAAGGACTGATCGTCAGGACAAACACCTCCCGCCCGCGCAGAGGGTGACAACGAGCACAAGGCAGGCGACTACTGTGGGCTAGGGAGTGTATCCACCTCAAAATTGCTGTTGACTGCAGGTGCATGATGAAATATGTCACCATTGTAGACAGACGTGTATATAGTGATGTCTGATTTAGATCACTACTAATTACCCTGGCAGAGTATTTGAGGTGCCTTAGAAAGCCAACACCCACTGAAGAGGCATGATGCTTCCTGGAGTGATGTTCTGCCACTGATTGCAGCTTGGGTGTTTCAGCTTCTGCTTGTCTTTCCTCCTGAGAAGGGGCGGCTGCAACTTCTTCTGACCCTGAACACCCACAAGTCGTGTAGTCACTGCCATATCATCAGCGCCTCAATGAAAACCCTGAAAATAAGTAAATTTATAACAGATCAATCCTGAGCTACACATAACTACTCTTAGAGTGTGGGTTTTCACCCAGCAGTGCTGTCTGAAGAAAATGTATAATGTGAGCCTTGCCCTGGGTGAGGCAGAGGGAAGATGCTAGCTCTGCCCCTCTGTCCATGCAGGGAGGCTCCAAACAAGACAAAGCAAAAAAGAGTAAGAAAAGGGGCAACCACAGACATGAAAGTCAAGAGGAAAATACAGCTAAATATTACGGGGAGGGTCCCAAACACAAGAACAGTTACAGGGAAGGAGTGGTTGCTGAGGGAGGTGGTGAGGGAAAGAGCAGCAGTGATGCACCTGCTTCTCTCAGTGCAGGAGCTTTACCAGTGACAGCTATGAAAGGATTAAGACACCAAGGGGCCAGTGCCAAAAACCTCCAGGAAGAGATACGCACATGGGGCACCACTTCTCTGTGGCCAGGACATCTTTGCCCAATAGGCCACCATGCTACCTCCAGCCGGGACCTGAGAGATGTGAGGCCACCCTGAGCCAAGGCTCACTGGGTGTCCCCAGGGCACAGTTCATTGTCCCCAGCCACCTCTGTATACTAGTCGCTGTGAATGGAGAGGTAAATGCCAGTTCCCCTGAACCCTCCCAAAGTGACACTGAACCCCTGCAGCACAGGCACTGGCTCCTGTAGGACAAGTAGCCTTCAAAAGGGCCAGTGCCCTGGGGAGTAAGTATTTAAGTATATTTGTAATTTGTTTTTAAAGGTTGGGGAAGCCTAGGCAAGGAGTTCAGGAAAGTGGTGTGAAATGACCTCACCAGTTTTCTCTTGGCATCTTCTTAGCATTGCAGCGCTGCTCCTCAGCACACCTATTAGCAATTCTTCCAAGCGAAGAAATCCAACAAAAATGAGGTCACTAGAATAAGGCTTATCACCAAAACCACCTTGCCTCACCACATAACTGTGCCACAAAAGACACTGCCTTAAACCTGATAAGGGATGAAATGTCAGAGGTCACAGCACACTTTTCTCAAGAGCTCCTCCATTGATCCCACCGCCTAGTTGAACGTCAGCCTTTTTGACAATTTCCAGTTTCATCACGAAGTCCTTTTATTTCACCCCATGCTGGTGTGAGGCTCCCACATTACCAGTCCCACACGATCAGGCATTTCCAGCAGTGCTCGTTGCTCCTGCTTCTTCTGCACCGTACTTCTCATACACCCATGGCATCACCACCATGACACTCATGCCTCTTCCCCAAACCCGTCTCCTCCTGGGCTCCTAATGCTGCTAGTCGTCTGCCAGTTGCAGGGGAGGGGTGTAAAAAAACCTAGTCAGCTGCAGAAACAACCAAATATTTTTGGTTAACAGATGATTGACGGTAGTTCAGACTGATGCAGAATTTGGTATTTCAGCTGCAGAAGCCTATCCCACACAAAAGCTGTGGTTTTCCATCATATTCCTTACGCATTTGTTTTCATACTTTTTTCTGAAAAGGAAAATGGAATTAATTTTTTTCCTTGGGTTTTCTTTCTGGCTATTTTTTTGTGTTTGGGGTTTTTTTTGTGTTTGTTTTTTTTTAGGGGGGGTGTTTGGTTTTGTTTGGGTTTTTTTTTTTTAAAGCATCTTACTATTGTGAAAAAGAAGCTTGCATTTTTGGACCTTGAAAAGTGGACCAGTGGAAGGGCCATGGATTGAAAATATGCCCTTATTCAAATATTGTACTAAAATCATGCTGAACAGGGAGGCCAACTGGAATGTTTTTATCCTCATTATGGTAAAGACTTTGGACAAAACTCCACAATATTTTGCAACCTTACATTTCCTGTAACATGAGGATAAATACAAGTCCCAGCACTAGGAGCGAAGACCTTTGTTTCTTTGCTCATATGGAAAAAGAAAGTGGGAAAGCACATGGAAAGAGCACTGCTGAAGGAGGGCCAGACCCAGTTCCTCATGTAGATGCCCTCTGGGAAAATGGCAGGACCATGCTCCAACAGAAGGAGTCAAGCAGATGCCTGCAGGTGGACTTCAGAGCCATGACAAAGTCAGGAAACTCACCAGTTGGACTCAGAAAGAAAGGAAAAGCCTTTGGCTGCAGCCAAAAAAGTACTTCTTGACTTTTAGTAAAATTGTCTCTCAAAGTTCTCTCAAAATCTGACCTGGACTCTGGCTGTTTTTCTAGAGCAAGTGATGCCACAGGTGTACTGAAAACTGGAAAATGAAAGCTGGGAACAGGATGGTTCATTTATGACAAATCATGATGACACCCTTCGCACAGAAACCAGGAAGTTTCTCTTCTCAAGTGTACCAAGGTCCTGAGGAGGAAATGATTGCACACACAGTTACTGAACCTATTACAGATAATTATATCTATTTTTCCACTGAAGTAATCTCCCTCACTCCTTTGCAGTTCAACTTGTGTGATAACTTTCAACATCCCCAACATCACCATAAAGAGGAGTGTCCAAAGTCCTATGAGGACTGGGAGAGGCGATTGTGGGGCATCAGTTCTGCCTCCTACATTGATGGCGCCTGGCAGGTGACACACAGCATCCAGCCTGGGCCACGGCAATATTCAGGTAGGCAAAACCAACAGGTTTACTATTCCTGAAGCAAAACGAATCTGCTGACTCTTCAAATAGATTTCTATTTGAAATAGAAAAGCTGGCATGGAGGAGGAACTGGCAGGACAGCGAGGCTGCCAATGCAGGTTTCTCCTGCATAGTTAAGAGGGAAACACTGTCCCGTCCTATCCCATCCCATCCCATCCCATCCCATCCCATCCCATCCCATCCTTGCTGCTATTCAGGGGAACCCAGGAGCATTTGTTCCTGGAGCTGATCCAAAGGCAGGGGAGCGACTGGCACAGGCATGGTGAGGAGCAAGGGATCCCCAGTGAGGGTGTGAGGGAGAGCACCCTACGTCACTGCTTGTGCTCCCTGCGCCCTCACACAGGGCCCTCTGGGTCACATCGGTACAAGTATTTAGATGCCTACAGATGCAAATCAGGCGCAACGTGGTGTTTCCCAAAGCATTTGCATCTCAGACGCCCACATATTCTTAAAACTCTACCCTTCCGCCTATGCACGTGTTAGTTTCTTCATTTCTAAAATGGATATGGTAATTACCCGCCTCTCTGGCAGCAGGAGGAGGAGAGGAGATACCTGGTGTGCTGCCGTTAGCTCAACAGCAGTGCCGGGTCCCCCTCTCGTTCCAGATCTGTTCCATGTGATGCTGGTGAGCCCATCACACCTGCAATTGCCTCCGGTGATTTGGGGAGAGGAGAGAAAGGCCACCTCTGAGTCTGGCTCTGTTTAAGATGGTTTTCTGGGATGATGCTTCCTGACTGTTTCCTCAATATCCATGGGCTTGTGCCTCAGGAAAACTTCATGCTCCCCAGGCTGGTAGCACATCTACCCATCGTGTTTCGCACGAGCAGCTGCTGGCAGGCACGTGATGGGGACTCGCCAGAAATACCGTAAGGTCACTCACACGCATTGCCGGGAAACAAAATCTGTGTGGGTGCCTTTTTAAGGAACCACAAGCCTGCTTTTGCACTCCAGCAATCATACAGCTCGGGGGAATCAGCCCAAAAAGCAGCTCTGCATTTGCAGTGTATTTTTCCTGGATTGTCAGCCTTTTTTACTTCCCCTTCATAGCTAAACCTAGCTTCATCTCATAGCTTCAAACATAGCTTCATCTCCTCTTGGCAGTGCTCATTTCTCACAGTAAGAGAATATCACAAAAACCTAAGAAAAACAAACAGAAGCATATTCTTGCTCATCAACAGAAAGCAGCCCCACAGTAAACTGTCCTGCTGGATAGTGCTCTACGTTCTACTTACTGAAACATCAAATCCTATTTTCCTCTACACAGGAAAACAGGAAATGTATGGACAAAGGGGTTTTTACTTCAGGAACAGGGAATACCAAAAGAGAAACAGTTTCCCCAAAACAGTTCGGAGGCTGAACTCAGCAATTAAAATATAGGACACATGTAGAAATCGATACACCCAAATAAACACTTCAGCTGATTATACAGCTACTTCAGGCAGGCAATCCATCAAGTTTGGCCGCTATGACACTTTAGAAAACTCGTGCAAATAAAAGCGGCAGGCAGCACAGGGAGTTAGACCTTGAGGGAGGTGCCCAGGCTGTGGGCAGAGCTCCACACCTCACCTAAAAGCACCCAGGCCAAAGAGGGAGCCGTGAAAGCTGGGGTCATGGTGTAACACGTACGGTGTGGTGACGGTGTAAAGTCCCTGGTGCTTCTCTCCATCTCAGACCTGACACAAAAGGTACCATGAGAACAGCAGCATAGCAAGGAAAAAGGATGCAGCTCATTCCTTACAGCCTCTCTGGGATGCTGGGTGTTGGTACACTAAATTAGCAGGGACACTGCAGCTCACTTACTGAAGCATCCCGTGGGCTGCCAGGCTCACAAAAACTCCACAGGCCATGGCACAAACAGACTCTGGTCAGCTGTGGATCTGTTTGCCCAGCCTTTCCAGCTTTTATTTCTCATCCATGTCGGGCTCATTTTGGAATCAGAATCACAGAATCTTCTAGGTTGGAAGGGACCTTAAAGATCATCTTGTCCAACCGTCAACTTAACTGACAAAAATAGACACCCACACGACAAACATCACTAAACCATACCTCCCAGCACTTCCTCAACCCGTCTTTTGAACACCTCCAGGGATGGTGCCTCAACCACCTCCCTGGGCAGCCCATTCCAATGTCTGAAATAGGGCGCAACGTATGGCAGCGGAGCAGTGCTCCTGGGTTCTCCCCTTCACAACAAGGGTTAACACGGAGCAGCCCTGCAGTTTTCACTCAGCCCATGGTGCTGCCTCCCAGGAGCCTGCTGCCAGCGTTTTTTCTCAGCAGAGCACTCAAAATATTGCTTGGTTATCTAAACATGCCAAGATACACAAAACCCTGGGAAGATACTAACAGTGGAGAGCTGGGTTTGCAGTGATTAATACACAGACCCAGGTCCTTCAGCCTCTCATTAGGGAATATAAGCAGAGACCTGAGTCATCGGCTGCTCACAGCGTTGGCTGCGGCAGCAGTGCCCAGCAGCACCTTGTGAGATCTCCACCAGCTCAGCCACCTCACCTGCCTGGAACTTTCGCTGCAGCCCATGCTCCAAACTGCGCTGGAGGATTGAAAAATTGCCCATACCACCATTTCTTGAACAGCACACTGGTTTGTGGAGTATGTTTTTCAAATCTTGCAGCACGTGGGTGAATTTCAGGGCACCCACATACAGGAGCTGCAAGACAAAAGCCACAGGTGCCCTAACCATTAGAAGATCTCAAGGCTTAGCCTCTAAGCAGGATATTTCTACTCCTTGCACAGGGTCAAAAGTATCCCACGTTCCTCAGTTCATAAATCCCTGTATTTTTGTAACCTAGGGACCGCCACACTGGGTCTGAGGGGTCTCTCATTCTGTAGCCTGCCTCCAAATGGGGTCAGCAGTGGCTGATGATGGAAAGAGGGGGAGAAACAAGGCATGCACCACCCAGCCCCCTTCTCAGCATGTCCTCCTTTTCAGAAATTCTCCTTTTTCCTACAAGGTGTGCGAGGCTAGAGGCATGTTTATGCTCACAGATAGCTTATCTTCTGGGCTCATCCTCGGCCCCAGCTGCACGCACTGCTCACTGGGCAGCAGCAAACCCACAGGCTCCCTTGGGGAAAACCCAAGGGGAAGAAAAATGAACATCAGGCCTCAGTGCTACAGGGGGACTAAAGCTGAAGGACCTCCCAGCAGTCAGCCTGCTCCCTCCCCAGCACCCTCCACTTCAAATACCTTCCGCAGCAAACCCTGCTTTTCCTTAGCAGGGGCTGCCAGCCACGGGAGCAGAGCTGGGCCAGAGAAGGATGCGACAAAATTCCTGCTGATTTCTATGAGAAGCCGCAGACCAAGCCCTGATGCTCCAAATATTCCCACCAGACACCAAAGCAGATTATTTTTGGAGCTGGTTGCGGTTGCAGCGGAAGACACAAAGCATTTCTCTGGCCTCCTCTGGCATCCAGGTGCTTCTCCTTGGAGAGAAAGAATGAGTAAAGACTTTAGTAATCATTTGTGGAGCCTGGTCTTACACGGCTCCCTCCTCTCCCAGGTGATAACTCAACCACAAGCACAGTGGAGGAGGGCTAGGACAGAGCTGAAGCCCTCTGATGAGCCTTGCTTGGCAAATGCTGCTTGGGACTTACCACGGGCAAGGGCTCAGACTTCCTCAGCACTCGCTCCTCCACAGTGTTAGCTCCTGTTTTGCTGACAGTTGCAGCTGTGGAGATTTTTTTTGTTGATACACAGGCTTTGCAAGGCTTATTGCTAGTTTATTGAAATGAAATAGCTGTCGATACGAAATGCTTTGGTACAAAACCAGCACAGGGTGCCCCGAAACTGGGAGGACTTCATTTTCTTGATGGCAAATGTCAAGGCCCATTATGTATTGCCTGGAGGCACATACAAGCTAATGAGGACTAATGCACAGTGAGTCCACTGTTGCCATTATTGAAACGGCAGCACCCTCTCCCTGAAGAAGAAAGGGAGGAGAGAGAAGACCCTCCACAGGGAGGCCAGGACCCAGTGGTGACGACTGTGAGCAAGCGGGGCTGCTGGCCACCAATGTGAAGTGTCAGTTTGCTCCAAACCAGCCATGTTTTCTATGCACTATCTGCTCCTGGCAAAGATGCCCAGTGTCCTTGCCATCCGTCTTCTGCAGCCGTCTTAATCCTGCAAAGCAACAGCTCTCAGTGTGGCAAAAGTTGGGAAACAGAGTCAAATGTTTCCTGAACTGTCCCATAAAGTTTCTCTGCTGCAGGGTTTAAATATCAGAGACACCGCGAGAGAAACACAGTGGCAGTCACTACATGGTCCCTCGACCACATCTGCAAAAAACCATACACCATAGAAAACCAAAGAGAATAATATATCCTACAACAATTTATTTGCATGAAATCATCCAACTCCGCTTAAGAAGAAATCAGATTTCTTCCATAGTGCTTAATTAAGCCAATCTGCTCTCCCTCAGACACATGGGGATGGGACCAGTTGCTGTCACAGCCACAGCAGACTTTTTGGGGCTTCAGACAGGTTTCCACCCAGCTCCCTGGGATGGGTATTAGTAGTAGGTCCTCGGGGGACACTCCCTGACCGGCCACTGCACCAACAGCTCAAAGCTGAAGTCCCTGCTGCTGTGACACCTGGGGGGGTAAGCATTTGGGCCAGTGCTGCTCAACCTGGGGTGTGCTTTGCAGGCCAGACAGTTGAACCCATCCCCAGCTCCACAGACACCCACCAAGGAAAACCAGGGTGCTGCCATGCTCTGGGCAGGCTGATGCTCAACCATCTGCACCTCCCCAGTGGATTCAGCCTGAGGTGCCGCTCGCCCCAATCTCTGCTCAATGACAGAAGAGGGATCAGCGACAAGCTGAAGCCAGATCTGATGTTTTTCCCCCTTGTTCAAACCTGCCACCACCAGAGAGCCCGGTTTGGGAATCTCCCTCCGAGTTTCCATTTAGACCCACAGAATTAGTTTGAGTACAAGAGGGCAGCAATCACACACTTAATTTGTTTCACCCTGGAATGCATCCTCATTTAAAAGCCTGGAGTATTTATTGGCGGCAAAGAGATATTGATTGCCCAGCCACAGGCAGAGTAAAAATCATTGAGGGGAAAAAAAAAAAAGAAGCAACAAAACGAACCAGAAAATTTGCTCCTGTGCCTCCTGCCACGCTGCCATGCGACGCGCCGTTTCAGTCTTCTCTGCCTTCCAGCATCCCTCAGCTCCCCTTCCAAGGCATGAGAAATGGCCTTTCCCTTTGAATTTATTGGCGAAGGGTTTTCGGCAGCTCTCAGGCACTTTATCACCTTCCTGCAGAGGAACATAAAACACAGCCCGTGTCTCAGCCCGTGCGGTAGGAACAAATAAATAAGGGCAGCTCCCCGCAGCTCCGCCACCGGCAGCTCCATGCGCAGGGGCCGGCTGCATTGTACCCGGGAGCTCAAGCTGCGGAGTTCAGAGCTGGCTCTGCTGTGAACTCCCCGCCGCCCCTGGATGTTTGGAGCCAGTTATTTCCTTGTTAAGGGTTCGCCCAACAGGAAAGCCGTTTCCCACCCCTAAAAACCTGGTTAAAAGCTAATGGCCCGCTGTGGCTCTTGTAAAAGATGGATTTCCCTGCTAACGATGGCCGCCCGTTTCCTTGCGGTGGCGGCGATTCCAGCACTGCTGGGGTGCTGCGTCCGGAGCGGTTTCATTTTGGCAAATTGCACTTTACAGCTCGAGAGCAATCACCCACATCACTGGGGTTGTGCAGTGGCCCTGTGGGCCAGCCTCGCCATCGCTCCATTTGCCACAAACCCCCTTGCCCTGGTGCTGGAGCGGGTCCAGAG